TGACTGCATACACACTTAACCAGGGAATGCTGGTTAAGTGTGTATGCAAAGTGAATTTGTGTTGTGTTGAGAGTATAATAATTTTCCACTTTGTCAGTCTTGGATCTGCAAATCTGGCACGTAATTACAGCTACGTCAGAGAGAAAGCACCAGGGCGGGTTACAAAGTTTGGATTCAGCTACAAAATCATCATATCCTGCTAGACTCAACTTACCTGGCTGAGGACGGGGTGAACACAGACACACAAGACAGAGCAGGAGTATAAGGATGTGTTTAATCATCTCAACAGTATCTGCAAGAAAGAAAAAAAAGGAGTGACAGTCAGTGTGGGACCTTATAATAAATGCCAAATATTAGCCTACTGTAAGACTACAGTTAACTTTAGTTAATATGTGTTATAATGTTCGAATGAGATAAGCTTTTTTTTTTAAACATAAAGTGACACAGTGACCACAAACCACAGAAAGTGCAGTCTAGTGTAGTACCTAGTAGCATAACCTAAAATGATTTTAAAAATTAGTAATACCCTCTAAACTGTAGTCAATTAGTCTCAACTGACCAATCAAGCCATTAATTATTAGATTAGTAGGTTGTACAGGAATATCAACCAGTAGTGTTAGTGCAGACGAGCACAAATACTGCTGCGCTGTAGTCTTAGACTGTAAATGAAAAGACTAGACTGTGTTTCCAGGTGAAGTGGATTTTTATGCAGCATTTCAGTAATCTATAGTACAGTTTCACTTGGACAAAATTAGGCTTTTAAAATCTTATTTTTCTTTACTCACTTAATCTCATAGAAATAAAATCAAATGTTTTATTGTAGCTCATATAACCTACAGTTTTGAATCACTGTTAACTAAAATAAATGAACAGACATAATGGAATAACATGTTTTCCCAATTTTCTTCCATTATTGCATGAACTAGGACATGTATGTCTGGAATCCACATTGCCTGGACTATATAAAGTACTATTTGTTCTATTTCAACGTTAAATAAAAATAAATTAATTCATAAATACAGATAACTGTCTCTGAGTAATTATGAAACTAAACCTTTCTTAATCTTATTAGGACACTTCGTGTCGGTGAATCACATTTAGGTTTTGCTTTAATGCTTTACATAGCTCTAGTTTGCATAATTATTATTATTAAAAATAATTCAAAAACAAGAGAAAAGCGCTGCTTCTGAAACCACGTGTGTGCTAAGCTGTCCCAGGGCTTCACTGAGGCTGCTGCAGTGATACCGCTTATCAAGTGATCAATCAGCTGGTTGAGGGGACGTAATTGGTCCCTGGCTCAATTTTATCAATGAGTCTAATTACTTGAATCTACTAGTGTGGGAACATTCCCGTCACCTAAAAAGCAGCTCCTGATATGGGAATAAAACACTGACATTAGAGTAATATCGCTAAATAACCACACAAATATTACCCTTAGTTAACATCAGGTGAGCCACGGAGAAAACATAATAATAATCATAATTATTATGATTATTATAATTATAATAAACATAATAATAATAATTATTATGATTATTATAATTATAATAATGAAATACAACCTTGGAAGTGTATCCAAAGTCCAGCTGGCTCGTTTCGGGTTGATCACTTAAAACTTTTCCAAATGAAACTGCCGGAGACTCCAAATGATCCGCGGAGTGTGAGCGTGCTTATTTTTCAGACCACTGTACTCACCCACTTCACTGGTCTGGCTGGAAGTTCAAATCCACTCTGCACGCGTTATTATCTTGATATTTAAGAAGAGGAGGAGCGCACAATCCCTAAAGTAACGTAAAAACGGGGGAGGGACTTGGGGGGGCGGAAGGAGATCTGAGTGGGACAAAAAAGAGCAAAGTATAGATCGGCTGAATTTGGAGAAATGAAGGAAAGGGAGAGACTTTTCTTTGGCAGAAAGACCTGACTCCTGGGCGGGATGGCTTTGGAACCCTAACTGCCTCATATTCCTTTAACGAGTGTGATTTGTTTAGTAATGTTGTTCTCGCACTCTGTAGGAACACAGTCTGCAATGTATTTAATCGGTTAAGTGACGACAAGTTAACATCTGGACAAGTGTATCAGTAAGAACAGGGGGAGGTTACAATGAAGGGTGTTCCGGGGGGGGGGCAAGGCAAAAACTGTCTTAACTCAATAATCAGTATGATTGACTTTTCAACACTGTGGAGGAGTCCGTAACGCTAATCAGCAGATCACGAACACACACACGTTCAACGAACACCTGTACGGACTGTGGAGTAGTGTTTTATGCACTTTAATAGAGAGCCAGGTGCTTCTGCAGTTCATGTTCAAATTACGAATATCAATGCAGGGTCTTTACAATATCAGGCGACTGCTGTTGTGATTAGGCACTATAAAAGTGACACTGAATTAAATGTGAGAATCTTTTTCTTCCAATATTTTAGTTTCCACTTAAATGCTGTCCTATGACACAGTGAACATTGTTTATTATTTTTGTGTAGAAAATTACAGCAAGCATTCATTCAAACCATATAAATCTTTAAAGTCAAATTATCCTAAACCTGTAGAGATGACAAAATACACACTGAGAGTCTAACCAAGATTATAGTCAAAGGAGCTTGCAAAGAAAAGCGTCTGGACTTCTTTAAGTTGCTTGAAGACGTTTCACCTCTCATCCGAGAAGCTTCTTCAGTTCTAAGGTCAAATGGTGGAGAGTCCCAGATATAAACCTAGTGGGAGTGACCCCCCACAGAGGGACAAAAGGACCCCCTGATGATCCTCTAATCGCCTGAGCCAAGGTGTGAAACTGGGCGTGGGTCCCAATCAGCCAGAGTTTCGGGTGTGTTCATTGTGAAACCTGGCCCCACCTTATCATGCGAATTCCTGAGGTCAGATGGCCCAGGATGTGAGTGGGCGTTAAGGCGTCTGGGAAGGGATCTCAAAACTGGATTATAGATGGCAGAGAGTTGGTGTCGTAAACCCCCGCCTCTGTTCAAAGATGGTCGCTCACAGTGGACATAGATGGCTTCTTTCACTCCTCTTTCAAACCATCTGTCCTCTCTGTCCAAAATGTGAACATTGGCATCCTCGAAAGAGTGTCCTTTATCCTTAAGATGCAGATGGACTGCTGAGTCTTGTCCTGTGGAGGTGGCTCTTCTGTGTTGTGCCATGCGCTTGTGAAGTGGCTGTTTGGTCTCTCCAATGTAGAGGTCTGGGCATTCCTCGCTGCACTGTACAGCATACACCACATTGTTAAGTCTGTGTTTTGGCGTTTTGTCTTTCGGGTGAACCAGTTTTTGTCTGAGCGTGTTGCTGGGTCTGAAATGCACTGTTTTACCAGCTGATAAGGGAAGATGCACCGTGGTCCTAAACACTACAGATTACCATACAAAGATCACTACTCTCCTCAGTGACAACAATACCTACGAAGCCTTAAAGCGAGACCCCACAAGCAGCTACAAAAAGAAAGTTATAGCTTGCCTTCAAGACTTTGAAAAGGACAAAATTATTGACCGCCTTACATATCACCGCCTTTACCCAGGGGATGCCATACCCTGCATCTATGGACTTCCTAAAATCCACAAGGACCAACTTCACACCCGATCAGATCTGCACACTGTTAGACCTCTGCCTCACCACTACATATTTCAAATACAACGAAGGCTTTTACAGACAAAAACATGGCTGTGCCATGGGCTCCCCCGTGTCACCTATTGTAGCCAACCTTTACATGGAGGAAGTGGAAAGGAAGGCTCTTGGCTCTTTCAAAGGAAGAGTACCCAGCCACTGGTACAGATATGTGGACGACACCTGGGTCAAAATCAAGACACAAGAAGTGGAATCCTTCACTGCGCACATTAACGCTGTGGATAAAAACATCAAGTTCACCAGGGAAGACACAAAGGACGACTGTTTGCCTTTCCTGGACTGCGCTGTGCACATTGAAGAGAACGGCAACCTCAACATCGAAGTTTACCGGAAGCCCACACACACGGACCAGTACCTCCTCTTTGACTCCCATCACCCTCTGGAACACAAACTTGGAGTAATTAGGACCCTACACCACCGGGCAGAACATGTTCCCTCTAAGCCTGAAGGAAAAAAGAAGGAACACACACATGTAAAGGAAGCACTCAAAACGTGCGGCTATCCTAAATGGGCGTTCTTAAAGTCAGCAAAGAGGCACAGAAAAGAAGACCAGACACCAGCGAGGGAGGATAAGAAGGACAGACGCAACAACATTGTCATCCCCTATGTAGCCGGTGTATCAGAAAACTCAGGAGAGTTTTCTCCAAGCATGACATCCCGGTGCATTTCAGACCCAGCAACACGCTCAGACAAAAACTGGTTCACCCGAAAGACAAAACGCCAAAACACAGACTTAACAATGTGGTGTATGCTGTACAGTGCAGCGAGGAATGCCCAGACCTCTACATTGGAGAGACCAAACAGCCACTTCACAAGCGCATGGCACAACACAGAAGAGCCACCTCCACAGGACAAGACTCAGCAGTCCATCTGCATCTTAAGGATAAAGGACACTCTTTCGAGGATGCCAATGTTCACATTTTGGACAGAGAGGACAGATGGTTTGAAAGAGGAGTGAAAGAAGCCATCTATGTCCACTGTGAGCGACCATCTTTGAACAGAGGCGGGGGTTTACGACACCAACTCTCTGCCATCTATAATCCAGTTTTGAGATCCTTCCCAGACGCCTTAACGCCCACTCACATCCTGGGCCATCTGACCTCAGGAATTCGCATGATAAGGTGGGGCCAGGTTTCACAATGAACACACCCGAAACTCTGGCTGATTGGGACCCACACCCAGTTTCACACCTTGGCTCAGGCGATTAGAGGATCATCAGGGGGTCCTTTTGTCCCTCTTACTCCCACTAGGTTTATATCTGGGACTCTCCACCATTTGACCTTAGAACTGAAGAAGCTTCTCGGATGAGAGGTGAAACGTCTTCAAGCAACTTAAAGAAGTCCAGACGCTTTTCTTTGCAAGCTCCTTTGACTACGATGACCTGGATGACTGAGAACCTTCACAGACAACCCAGATTATACACGATACCAGGTGGGTATCCTTACTGCTAAAAACCAGCCCTGGAATGGCACGGCTACAGCTGCAGCCTGTCTGCAGCTCAGGACACAAGCATTTCACTGCATGTTCACTATATGTTATACTGTGTATGTGACAAATTTAAAAAAAGTAATTGTAATTGTATTGATGAATAGGTTGTGGGTTTGATCCCTGGCTGTTCAAGTCCTAAGCTACAGCCCGGGTGGCTTAGGAGTTAGATCAGTTCTGCTAATCAAAAGGTTGGTGGCTTGCCAAATATCCTGGGGCAAGATATTAACCCTGATGTATCCATCGGAGTGTGAATGTTAGACAGAAAGCACTAAAAGTGCTTTATAGATGCTTCACTTAAGTGCTCCAGAAGAGTAGAAAATTATGTAAGAATCAGTCCATTAACTATTTGCTTTCACTTTTTATTTACACAAATATCAAAATTAGTTGTTGATGTGTAGCCTGCAAAGTATATCAGAAAAATATACATTTCAAAGAAGTCCTGAGCTAATGTAAACTTTGATAAAAACATGTTTATTATTTTTACTATTCCAAACATTGGTCATTAGTGTACTTTACTAAAAAAAAAGCAACCTCTACAGTGCTCTATAAAGAATCACCAAGCATTTCTCTCATCAGCATCCATTGAACGCCTTTTTTTGCAGTGCTTTATCCTTCCATATAGATACAGCACTAGATGCATTCAATCACAATAAAAATATGATGCCTTGGCATTTCACTGCTGTGGTCTTGTCTACGTCTATAAGGTGCAGACGTGGAACATCAGAATTCCTCAAAAAGGTCTTCCACTGCAGAACTTGCTGCAGCAACATCTGCAGAGAGCCGGGGAGTCTGATGCTTACTGGATCCTGCAGGGGAGTCATTCCTGTCAACCACACACACACACACACACACACACACACACACACACACACACAC